CAACAACTGAATCAGAGGCTTTCGCACCAAGAATTTAGTAAGAAACAGTCCTCCTTTTTCATATTGAACATCATTATAAAATAGACTGGGAGACTTACTTTGCCCTTTTTTTCAGGCCAATATCTGATTTCCCAGGATTTCTCTAAAATTGTTTTTCACGTCATTTGATTGTTCAAATGTCTTATTTTGACCTAACTCAGGAGATGGAGCCTTCTGCCAAGAGACTGACAATATCTATGAATTTAAATATCTCAGAATCGTGTTAATAATGAGGACATTACCAGAACAGTTAATCACTAGTAGCATCTTGGTTATGGTTGCAAAAAGTCTTAGTCTGTAGGACTGCTGTGAGTAGAATTCACTGATAGCTCTTGCAAAACATGTATGGCAATACAGATTTTGTTTATGGCTCACTTGAAACAAAGCATTTTGTCTTAACCCAATTTAATGTGTTGTTCGGTCAGGATTTCCTCCAGTGACTCATAATACCCCCACTGAATTTAAGAGGATATGTGTAAATCAGCATTAACCTCCAAAACTTCTGACTTTTTATCTTGCCTCTAAACTGGCAACACACCACATCTACATGTCCTACTAATACAGGGAAATATCTCCTCCTACTTTTCTTTCTTCCTTATTTTTCCTCTTAAATGAGATCTTAAATGAGTCAGAGACTGCAGGTCACACACATGGCAGGCATAAAGCATAGTTTAACCCTGGACAGCCAGCTATACGAATACTGCTGATACGACTCTGCAGCCAAGCAGTCCCACAAGTAAGCTCTGGCATCACGAGCTAATGCAGAAACCAATGGTTAACAAATGTACTGGAGGTATATGTAAGTTAAAATAAATAAATAAATAAATCTGTGAGTCTGGAGAACTTTTTTCTTTTTTTTTATTTTTTTAAAGGAGGCAAAGATAAAAGTAAAGTCAGTGTCAGAATGTGAAAACTCAAATAGACAAATGAGAAGCCAGACAAAGCAGACAAAGTATACATAATTTAACATGGAAACTAATTATCTATTATAATAATGTTGTAAGGAACATTGTGATGGAGGCTTGATCTCTGTCTGAGAAATGTTCTCCAATTCATCCAAGCATTAATGGGCTTTTATGCAAGAAGCTAGAGCAGCAGATTATGATAATTTTCTCTGACCTTTTGAGCCCTAATGCCATATATTAGCTTTCCAGCCATCTGTGTCATGTGGAGTTCTTCTGCACAATTCTTCTGAATCTGTGGGGTGTCCTGCTGTGAAATGATCTATCTGATTCACCCAACAGAATGGATCTAATCAGTAAGCATTTGATAAACCCCTCCTCTCATGCTAGATGCTAAGTGGCATCTTGAGAATGCAGGAACACAGGTATACACAGTCCCAGCAACAAATCTGAAACCATTTTTCAATACAGTATTCAAGTTTTCTTAATCTTTTCCCATTTTATGGATGAGGATCCTATCTGTATTCTTTTCAAGGCATTCTCTTGCTCTCTGAAATTTACTGACAGCAGTGAGCTCTGCTGCGGGCTAACAGATCAGGTTCAGACATCACAAATGCTGAAAACAGTACAGGAATAGAGCAAAAAGAAAAAAAGAGAGAGAGAAAATGGCAGTTGTGATTTCTTCAGATGTAGAGATTTCACAAGTCAGAGGTAGTATAGGAAGTTCTGTTTATTGTAGTGCAGGCTAAACAATAGATTCACAGCTTCTAATGGCTTATGAAACACATTCATGACTCTCTCAAAGAGAATTATGCTCACACTTTTGTTTGCTCTGTGTTTACATGATTTTCAGAATGAAAATATTTTCTCAAGTGGAGCAAGACAAAATGAAGGTGGGAAACCTGAGAGCGATTTTAGAATGCCAGAGGCAGGGTTGACGTGGTTGGAGTCCCATATATCTCCACTCAGAATCTGAAGGCAGGAACAGCATCTGGTTTGGGCTCGCTTTTTTTGACATGTGTAGATAAATTTCTCTAAAAGCGGTACTCGTTCTTGCTAAATCTCCATGCTGAATTTGAATTTTTCATTTTTAAGGGAATATTTAAGTGCCACAGCAACTGCTTTGAATGGCTGTGACTCATCGTGGGTCATCATTTGACCAACATAACGCTATTTGCTATTTCAGGAGATACACTTACGCTGTAATTGCAAGTTTTCGCTTGATATGACACTATTGCTGATGTTCCTTGGTGGGGTCACCATCTGGAAGTCTGTAGGCTGCCTTTACTATGAACTACTCTAAACACCCTTGCACATTACCAACTGCTTAAGTTATCTGTACCAATTGGGTCGCAGCAATGCGCAGCATCTTCCTGGACTCACCTCTCAGGCTTCTGCTGCCTCCTGTCTACTCCTGTCTCAGCACTGCTGCACCTTTTCTGGAACACATACGGGTCTCCCAGAGCTGTGCTGGAACAACCAAGCTCTTGCAGGATACATCTCTATAACCTCCAAGCCTTGGATGAATAATCGTCTTCATGCGCAGCACTATTAACAGCATACTTCTACATCTGTCTCAATGTCAGCCCTTGTAGGAGTTTCAAAAGTGATGTTTTTCTCTCATCTTTAAGGAATCACAGGATCATTACTGAATCACAGCATGGTTGGATTGGAAGGGATCTCACAGCATACCAGCCCTACCCCTGCCATGGCCTGCTTGCTCCCCTTCAGCTCAGGCTGCACAGGGTCCTTCCATGGCCTGGAGCATCTCCAGGGATGGGGCACCCACAGCTCTGCGCAGCTGTTGCCCTGCCTTCTGATTGGAGAGTTTCTTCCTTATCTGTAATCTAAAACTACTCTCTTTCACCTCAAAACCATTCACCCTTGTTCTATCACTGTCTGCCCATGTGATAAGCTCAAACACCAGCTTCATTTCACCATGTGGGAATACAAACGTTCAGCCAACAATGAGATGGTCCTGTAGAAACTTGCTGGAAAAACAACGTGCAACACATTTCCAATCCATCTTACTCCTCAGGGGATATAATAACCAATGCAAAGAATTTCCTTTTTCAGCAAAATTTTGTAGCTTGCAACAGAATGCCTGGAAGGCTGGGTGAAAGAAATGGAACTGGGGATGTTGGTTGATGCATGGCTATACACGAGCCAGCAGTGTGCCAAGAAGGCCAATAGCATCCTGGCCAGGAGAGACCTTATCACTCTCTACAACTCCCTGAAAGCAGGCTGTAGTGAGGTGGGGGTTGTCCTCTGCTCCACGGTAACAGCGATAGGATGAGAGGTGATGTTCTCAAGTTGTATTGCGGGAGGTTCACGTTGGATATTAGGAAAAATTTATTCTCCAAAAGAGCAGTCAGGCACTGGAACAAGCTGCTCAGAGAGGTAGTGGAGTCACTGTCCCTCAAGATGTTCAAGAAAAGGATGTACTCAGATGTATGGTTTAGTGGTGAGTACTGCTGGTGGGTCGACAGTTGGACTATCTTAGTGATCTTTTCCAACCCAAATAATTCATCGATTCTATCTGTTTGCACAGACAGTAAGAATAAAGAGAACATTTTATTTTAAACATTTCAAAAAAGGGAAGGATGGTACCACAATAATGCCAGTAAAAATCCATCTTGATTTTTCACAGGAGCTGAAGTTGTATCTTATAATTTACCTTATACAGCTATACAGCCTAATGAGTACTTCTTATTTTAAACAGTATTTTCAGCAATGAGCTCAGAAGTAGTTACGTAAAGACCTTCTTTACTGCTGTGACAGAGCACAGGAACAAGCTGCCCAGTGAGGTTGTAGAGCCTTCTCTAATCAAGAACTGCCTGGATGCTTACCTGTGCAACCTGCTGCAGGAATCTGCTTTTGCTGGGGGCTGGACATAACGATGCCTAGAGGTCCCTTCCAACCCCCACAATTCTGTGCTTCCGTAATAAGCAGGAATATCATCTCTAACTGAGATGCTCTTATATGTAACACACACAAAGATACTTGGCAAGGCTTTAGCTAAAAGCTGCATTTGCATATGGATGGCATTTATGGCCTCCAAATTAAAATAAGGCCCTTCTGGTTTTCCATCCACCCCCGCCTCGCAGGCCACACTGCTGCAGGATGATATTCTGCAGCTGACCTGCATTCCTTCCAAACCATTTAATCGCACAGAGCTGACCAGCATTCCTGTACCAAACCAGCTCGTCAAATGCATTACAACTGCCCCAAATGGTTACTTCACCTCCGTGTATGTGCAAGTGTGGAACGTGCCACGTCCATGTGTGCCATCCACAAAACCAAATGATGCAGCAGAGAGGGACATCTCCAAAACAAACCTTTCCCCCTCGCCGTCAGTCAGCACGGGTGTGTTTGGGGGGCTGAGATTGCCCCACGGCCCCTGCCTGGAGGACGAGGGTTAATTCATAGCAGACTTCATTCAGGCTTCTTTCCTACACGCTGCGAAAACGCAGTGCGAGAGGAGGATGTGCAGGGAGTGGGGCTAGAGCGAACGCGGCAGCGAGCGGCCGCGGAGATCCCCTCAGCGCCGCGGGCAAAGGCACCTGCGGCATCGGGAGGAGCGGCAGTGGGGATAAGGGGTAGGGGGGAGGCACGGGAGGGAAGAAAAAGGGGCTGGGAATGGAGGGGCTGTGGGAGTAATAGATGGAAGAAAGGGAAAAGTGGGGAAAATGAAAGGAAAAAAAAAGGGAGGAAAGGGATGAAAAAGGAAGAAAATGAGAACATGAGAAAAAATAGAAAAGAATGGGGAGAAAGGGGGGGGGGGAATGGAAGAAAGGGAAAATGGAATGGAAAAAAAAAAAACGAAAACGGGAAAAGGGAAAAAGAATGGGGGAAGGGAAGAAAAAGAGAAAAAAAGGGAAGAGAAAAAAATGAAAATAATGTAAAAAGGAAAGAAATGGACAAAAATGGAAGGGGAAAGGGGGAAAAGGGGAGGAAAAGGGGGAGCAAGAGGGAAATGGGAGGGGAAGAGGGCGGAGAAAGGAGGGAAAACGGGGGAAGGGGCGGAAAATAAAGGGAAGGGTGGGGGGGCAGGGCGAAGAAGAGACCCCCGGGCGCTATTCCGCACCACCGCAGCCCCGCACGAAGCCGCCGCTCGCATCGGGGCCGCCCCTGAGCCCGCGGAGCGCGGCGCGACCGCATCGTGACGCAGCAGCGGGACCGTCCGCAACGGCACTGCCAGCGCGGAGCGCGCCGGGCCGCGGCGGGGCCACCCGGAGGAAGGCAAGCGGCCGAGGGCGGGGCCCGATCCCGCACCGGCGCGGGGAGGCGGCACCTGGGTCCTTCCCCGGCTCCATCACCCGGCGGCGGCCGCTGAACGGCGGAGCGGAGCGCGGCGCGGGGTGAGGCGAGGTGAGCGGCTTTGTGGGCCCGCGGGCGGGAGGGGTGCGGAACGGGGACCGCGGAGAAGGCGGCGGCGAGCCCCGCGCCGTGCAGCCCGGGACGGGGTTCGGCCGCGGGCGCCTCCCGTCTCAACCTCCGCAGCCCGGGCGCTGTGAGCCCCGGCGTTTCCTCCGGCAGCAGCCCCTGCGTCGGAATCGGGGGGGAAACCGAGCAAAAGTTACGCGTTTGTAGCTGCGAGGAAGCGCGTAGCGAGTTCTCCGGTAGAAAAACAGCAGCTTGGGTCAACCGCGGTCCGAGGGCGCGAAGCCGGGATCAGACCTCTTTCTTGTAGCAGCCTGTTCGAGCTGTTTTATGAGCAAACGGGAAGGACGGCGCACAGATCAGCTCCCAGACAGACGTGTGCTTCGCTGTCGGTGTTGCTACCTCGTAGCATTTCAGTTGCTGGCTCGAAGCCACAGTACTTAAAGACACACTGATCAGTTAGCACCACTTCTCGACAAAAAAAATGAAACAAAGCAAAGAAAAAAAAACTTAACCCAAGCGTGCTAGTCGCTGTGGTTCTGTAGAAACCATGGAGGCAAGCCGTCTTGCTGCATCTTGTACTGCACGTGTCCCTAACTACCTAACGAAGTATTCAAGCCCATTGCCTTGCTGGTCAGTGTGGGCATCTTCAGGCCACGACTTGCTGCAGGCAGCTCATATGCTGCTCGGTGAGCATAGGAAGCCACTAGGCTTCTTGTGCTGCTGAGGCTGTGGGTATGGCACACTGTAGCCACACCTGAGGCTTTTATATCTGAGCAAGAGCCCTGCTGTTGAGAGCAGGCTTAAAAGGACTCTCATTGGGAACTGATGAGAAAGGCTGAATGTGAGCACAATTGGAATTTGGCCTGAGCTGTTGTCACTTGTATCACCATTCCAGTGAGAATTCACAAGTTATGCAGCGATTTCTGCACATAGCACCCACACCTAATGTGAAAAAGAATCATTTTTGGCATCCTTCACAAGGTGTAGTGTGCTTTGTCTGCATGTTCTGTCAGAAGCTGCGCACCATTTCACTAACAGTATCATAAACCAGCAGACCTCTCCTCCAGACCTTAGTGGTTTTTGATCTGTGTTGTTGGCTCCATGCAGTGCAAAAAGAAATGTGACTTGTGGCTTGTAGGAAGATGGATGAAATGGGGACATTTCTTTCAGAAGAGGGGGCAGTGAAGATCCACCTCCATATCTGGGGAGGCTCTGAGGGACTGGCCTGCCACAGTAGCTTGTTGAGATAAACAGACTTTCAGGTGAGGAGGTCTTGGAGAAGACAGTGGATTATATGAGACAGAAAAAACTCCTCTCCTCAGCAGCTTTATTTTTTTTAAGGACAGAAAATGATGTGGTAAGCAAGCAAGTTTGACCTGATTTCTTTGGGACTCAGTTCTGCATTGACAAAGAGCCACATGTGGAAGGCAGACTAGCTGCACTAGGTGGCCAAGTGACACTGCTGCAGGCGCAGAACAGTTACCCCAGTGCTGTGGATGAGTGATTGGCAAGTTTTTGTGTATTTTTCTCATTATTGAGGAACCAATGGAAGTCTCACCCCTGGAGGTGTTCAGAGCCAGGTTGGATGGTGCCCTGGGCAACCTGTTGTAGTATTAAATGTGGAAGTTGGTGACCTTGCCTGTGGTGGGGGGGTTGGAGCTTCATGATCCATGAGGTCCTTTCCAACCTGGGCCATTCTGTGATTCTGTGATCCAGCAGTGGGCTCAGCCCTGAGCTGCCGCAGCTCAGGGAGCACTGGGACACCACTCAGATACACAGCGTGGGTCTGGGTGCTCCTGTATGGGGCTGGGGGTGGGACTCGGGAGGTCTTCCCCATCCCCCTCAGGATTCTGTGGTTCTGTAAATATCTCATCACTCTTGAGATATTTGAGATATCTGAGTTGTCAGAACAACTCAGTCTGTCCTGTTGCCTTTCTGTCTCTCCTTTCTGGCCTTACCACTTGTCCCCATGTGAAGCTCTGTAGCATACTCTGTAGATCTGGATGCAGCATGTTGGGGTTACCTCCTCTTCCCGTGCATCCTTGAGGTAGCATGCCTCTCACAGTGGCACAGATCACCTCACACAGTGCATCCCTGCACTGTCTGCGTGGATAGCAGGAAGAACCAGTAAGGAGGAAGCATGGCAGCCCTGCTGCAGCTGCCTTACTGCCTACTCTCTGAAATGGAGACGTGCAAGTCACACTGTCCTGATATTGTGCTGGGGTGCCAACATGAGAGCAGCCCTGCGTGGGACATGCAGCTGTCACAGAGAAGAACAGATGTGATGTGCTGGCAGTGGAGCAGGGATTCTGGCAGTCGTGGCTGTGGCATCATGGGGTGCAGAGTGACGCTGTATGGGCACATGCACAAGGACCAGCTACCCCAGCAGCCCCAGCAGCTGCTGAGCAGTGAATGCAGCATGCTGCCTCCCCTCCCTCTGTTCCTGACTGCTCTGGCTGAGGATGGGGCGGCGTGCAGCAAAGCTGTGTTTCCACGCTGTCTGCTTCTATTGCTGCCAGGAGTTCCAGCAGCTCTCTGTGGCTAATTGCAGGAGGGAGGAGGGGGCAAAAGGGGAACACCTCCCACCTCCTTTTGATTCCAGCTTTATTTACGGTTTGATTTATAATTTGTTTAAAATAAATAAATCATGATGCATATGTTGAGAGTAAAGCTATGTCTGTTTCGGGCTACACTTAAAAGTGGAATGGCAGAAGGAACATCTCATCTTCCCTTATAAAACCATCTTGAGTATTATCAAGTAAAGGAAAGAAAACTTAGCATTTTTCAGATTCAAGTATTTGCAAGGAGCTAGTTTACCAATACTTTCCTGTAAATTACCTAGAAAATACAGTGATTTTTTTTTACTGTCAATGTATATTTTTCCCCATTGTGGCAGCAAGAAATTGTTAAAAACATGTTGGGAAGTAATAGATTTTGGAAGGGCACAAAGATTTTCTTCTCAAAAATGGTCAGAACAGGGCCATGGCCAAACTGAAGGGAGCAATCATCAGAGAGTTTGCAGGAGGATCTGAGGGAAGATTGTGTCTGGGCTTGCTTTTTTCCTGGAAGATGAATCTGCTCCTCAGAGGAGGCGGAGGATGTAGGAGTTGGAGCAGGTGCACAGCAAACATCAGGGAATTCATCTTTAAATGCAAATGTGGTTGTGCAATGGAATTATGTGCACAATGGAACCATTGAAAACAAGAGAATAGAATGTATGCATCACGATGCCTTATTGATTTAAGATCCCAAGTGACTTTTTAACTGATGGGGAAAGAGAAATTAATTAATTATTGCAGCAGAAATATTGCTTGCTGCTTACCTGCCTGAGATGGAATTGTAATTTCCACTTCTATAATCAAGTTCCAGAGGTATGGAGATCCTGCAGCTATTTAAGAGAAGGAAAGTGCCATTCAGCTGTCACCATCTGATGGCTGGGAAAATCCTTCATTGGGTTTGTTTTCATGTGAGTCAAGACGCATTTACAAAAATTTGTTCTGAACATGGATGTGTTTGACTTGCACTTAATAAATAATTATCAAGTCAAACGTGGAAATACTTTTTGCTGAAGTATCGTATTAGCTCTGTAATGTTTGCTCTAAGCATTTCCTTTTCAGTTTGCAGTTGAAATGCTGGTATTGTTTTCCCTTTTTGTACTGGAGAAAAAGACATTGTCTCATTTACCTTTAAACTCAATACAAAGCATTACATGACCTCTCCTTCCTCTCCTCCCCATTTATTATTATTATATCAATCTGGAACTTGTCCTTGAAAATGCAGCTATAATCAGGAACTTAAACACTTCCCTTCGGCTCCCCCATTTTAGCAATCTGTGCTTACATCTGTGAGCAAAAGTCAGCCTATGCTGCATAGCTTCCTTGCATGTGCATGACAGCTCTCTGCTCACAACTGTAATCTGAAGTCATACTGTTTTGCTTGTTCATCCATGAGTGCTTCTGCAGGATCTGGCCATAAGGACTGCCATTTTTCTTAGGAAATGGGAAATCCAGTAACAACATATAACCACTGGCATATTTACATCTGCATATTCATATCTCTCGTTTAGTAATGTACAACTGTAAATACTCTGCCTTTTGCAAGCTACACTCTCAGATCTGCCTGTAGTCACAGTCATACATTTTAAAAAGCTTAAGAAGAGCTTTGGATTTGGCTTCAGGTTTGTAATGCTACGGTTGTCAGTATGGTGAGAGATTTATCTGAATATTTGTAATTGCTGTGTCCAACATTTAGAAAATAACAATAACTTTAAAATGGCAAAACAAAATTAGGAATTATAGCATACTAAGTAGAAGAAGGGTGCCAGCACAGCAGAAGGATCGTGCCATCCTCTTTGACCCATGTCTCTATTCCTCTTAGTCTAAATGTACTCATTTGAGTTTCTCTCATACTTTCAGGCAGCCTTAAGGTAAATGCACTAATTATATTAAATACTGGGATATTATCATTCAAATACCACAATCTTCAACAGCGTCAAAGGTTTTTACTTCCTATCTGTAGAATCCTGAAGGGCATTTTTTTGGCAGATGCATAGAGAGGCAGCCTGCTAATGGAACAGCAGTGTGTCAGATACAGGATACAGCAGATACAGGAAGATTCACTTGCTCACTGTTCTTTTGGATATGATACTGCAAAATCTTCATCTCCTATTTCATTACAGCAATTTGATAGCACAGTTTTTAGAAGATTGATTTTGTTTTTTATTGCTCCGTATATTTATTGCTTGTACTAGTTATTTGTGTGTGGCATCTTAGGATACCCTTAGGAGAAAGAGAATCACCTCCTACAGTCTAATTATGATAAAACAGTGGCTGCTATTTGGATGAAACAGGACAGATCTTGGAAAGGATGCCGGCAAAGCAATTAGTCACAAGAGGAGTTATTGCTCATCACTGTGAGCTTTGTGCTGGTACATGCAGCAGGGACTCAGCTGCCCAATAGTTTGAAAAGCTTTGGTAAGGTATATC